AGTCAATGGAAACTGCCTCAGAAATTCCGCAGATGATAAAATTAGTAGAAAATGACATTAAAACCATTATTATAACATATTCTCTATGTTCAAGAAGCTAAAGGAGAGAACGAGAATAAGTGCTGAACGTGATATATGTATATGCAAATTGAACTTCTAGAAATGAAGTTACAATGTCTGAAAGGAAAATATAATGGATGGGATTAAGAGATTAAATATTGCAGAGAAGATTAGTGAATTTAAAGATATGACAACAGAAATTATCTAAAATGACACACAGGAAGAAAAAAGATTGGCAAATATGAACAGAGCATCAGTTAGCTGTGGGGCAAATTCAAGTGGCCTGGTATATGTGTGTTGGAGTCACCAGAGAAGAGAAGGAGGGGCAGAAAATATATTTGAAGAAATAATGGCTGAAAAAACAATCCAAATCTGATAAACACTATAAATTCACAGACCAAAGAAGTTTAATGGAACATGAGGACAAGAACCATGAAGAAAACCACACCAAGGCACATCATAGCACATCATAACTGAAATCCACAAACCAGTAATAAAGATAAAATCTTTTAAAAAGGCAGATTTAAAAAAAAAAAACAACACCGTGTACAAAGGAATGAAGAATGGCCATCAGAACGTATAAGCCAGAAAACACTGTTAGAAGAAGAAAAAAAACTGCTTACTTAGAAATCTAAACTTAAGAAAAGTACCATTTAAAAACAGAAATGAAATAAAGACTTCTTTAGATATATGAGAGCAGAAAGAATTCATCCCCAGCAGACCTGCCCTTCAAGATCTGCTAAGGGAATTATTTCCAGCAAAAAGGAAATGATACCACATGGAATTTGAGTCTATGTAAGGGACGGAGGCATCCTAGACATGGTAAGTATGTGGGTAAATATAAAATACTTGTTTAAATCTATTTAAAAGAGAATTTTCTGGAAAATATGGTGTATATATATAGAGAGAGAGAGGAATATGGTATATATGTAGGGAAATATTACTCATCCTTGAAAAGGAAGGAAATTCTGAGAGGCTACAACACAGATGAACCCTAAGAACATTATGCTAAGGGAAATTAGCCGGTCACAAAAGAACAGATGCTGTATGAGTCCATTCATATTGAGGTGCCTACAGTTTCAAAATCACAGGCAAAGAAAATAGGATGGTGGTTGCAAGAGCTTGGAGGAGAGGGGAACAGGGATTTGGTGTTTAATGGAGACAGTTGCAGGCTGCAAGATGAAAAGAGTTCTGAAGATGGGTGCTCACACAACAAAGTGAATGTATTCAATGTCACTGAAATGCACACACAAAGATGGGTGAGATGGTAAATTTCATGTTATGCACATTTTACCACAATTTTATAAAGAGAACTGGCTGTTTAAAACAAAAATAACAACAGAGTATGTGAGGTGTACCACGCATGTAGAAGTAGGACTTCCACAGCACGGTTAATGGGGAGGATGGAGGTAAAGTGTTGTGAGGTTCTTATACTGTACATAAAATGGCATGGCACATATAGGTGGACCACGTGACAAGTTAAAAACCTATACCGTAGGGACGCCTGGGTGGCTCAGTCGGTTAAGCGTCTGCCTTCGGCTCAGGTCATAATCCCAGGGTCCTGGGATCGAGTCCCGCATCGGGCTCTCTGCTCCGCGCGGAGCCTGCTTCTCCCTCTGCCTCTGTCTCTCTCTCTGTCTCTCTGTCTCTCATGAATAAATAAATAAAATCTTAAAAAAAAAAAAAAACCTATACCGTAAACCCTAAAACAACCACTAAAATAACCTTACAAGAAGTTATTCCTAACCAGCAACAAAGAAGATAAAATGGAATCATAGAAAATGTCTCTATCCACTGAAAAGGCCAAAAGTAATGATATCCCAGTAGCAGCAAGCAGAGGTATACACCTATACCAAAAACTATCATGTGTATACTTCAAATATGTGCAACTATGTCAATTACACTTCAATGAAGCCATTTAAAATCAAAGCAGAATAAGCTGTCTGGACAGGTACAAAGTTCTATGGTAGTCATCACATCTTTCCAAATACAACCTCTTCTCTTTTCCTTCTGGGACATAACAATATTGCACTCTCTATTCTCTTTGAAATCAGGTGTGGGCACATGACTTGCTTTGGCCCATAAAACATAAACAGAAGTGATTCTACCCACCCATGATGGGATCATCCTGAGCTAATGCACCGTTAGTGTTGGTTTCTTCTCCTGCCCGAGTGATGGTGGGAGTGTGTGCTTCCATGAGATTTGGGTCAGCCTGGGTCTGTGAGTGCTCACATGGAGCCAGCATGAGTGGGGCAGGTGGTCTGAGTGAGAGATGAACTTCTTGTGTTAGTCACAGGCATGTTGGGAGATCTTTGTTATTGCAGCTAATTTAGCCCCTCCTGACCAAATATTCCCTAACAACAGATGTGTCTAATTACAGAGGTGGTAGTTTTAAATGGCCCTGGAAAGCAAATGGTCCAGTGGCCTCTGAGGTCTCTTCCAACCGAAGAGTACGTGTCACAAGTGTCACCAGCTTGTGTGTTTAACTGATGTCACCTTTTCCAGCCTCTACCTACCTGGGAAGAAGTTGGCTCCTTCGTAAAGTAACACCCAGATATTTCTGAGTCCTTGAGGATTCAGACACAGTTGGCTTAATGTTCTTCAACTCTAGCCATCTAGTAAAGTCACCATGCCTCACAGACCGTGACCAGTGCTCTCCACCAAGTCTAGTTCAGCTGAGGATGCCACGTTCTTTCATGCCCAATGCCACTGCTTTCTGGAACATCAAGTTTGTGCTGGATTCTCATTCCAAGGACCCACTGTTCTGGGTCCAACCCTATGCCTAGGAGTCTAAAAGGCCCCTGAGTCATTGTCCATCTGTGTCCATCTGTGTCCCACCCCATGTGGTCCTCTGCCAGTCCTGGGGAACAGGAACCCTTGTGAGGCTGGCAGCCCCCTGAGGTTCCTAATTTGTCACTAAATGTGAAGCACTGCGGGAGAGCAAGAAGGGAAGTATCAGCAACTTGCAGGACCCACCAACCTAAGGAGGCGTGGGTAGGAGGAGTGGATCTATTTTGGAAGAAATTCTTCTCCCTTCATTTCCTGTAGACAAATCTCCAATGTGCTTAGGCTTATGGAAACCTACTTTTACTCTATCACACACCGCCCCTAAAGAGAAAGGAGCCAATAACTGGAGAAAACACTAATTTTGCAGTAAGTTTTCCTTTCACACAATCAACAGCACCTCAGAATCAAAGTGGTCTCTGAAGTTTTTAGGATAAATTTATTTTCTCTCAAAGATCCAAAGTAACTAGGATGCAAAGGATCTTTCATATTATTATTCAAAAAACTTAGCTCCTTCAAATCTCAGCTCAAGTATTTCCTTTTCCAGTTGTGATATCTGGCTTTTTATTTGCAAACTAAATTACTTCTTTGGGTAGTTTTTCCAAAATAAAGAGTTTTCCCCAAAGGTCTATCTAAGTCTTCATGGTCTTAAGAATAGAAAACTGTTCTCAGTTTTGAAATAGCAGCTTAATTTTTATTTCTATCACTCTGTCCAGGTATCAGAGACCTTGAGGTCCAGTTTCTGTCAATAACCCAAGCAATCACCGTAATGCAGTGACTCCTTTCTTACCCACAGAAGCTTCTGGCAGGAAGAAAACTTAGATCCAAAGAATGGGATCCCTGTCTTTCTTCTGAAATCATTTGAATCAGATTAGCCTGCTATACTCAGTAGTATAAATTAAAACTAACATGCAGAAAACCAAATAAGAAAGCAACAAAGTATCTCAGCCGTTGAACAAGAAGCATATACACAATAATTCTAGGAAATTATAGTTCTCACAATATTTCAGCATGGGGCCTTCTCTCTCATTTAGAAGCAAGGATATATTTATGTGCTATTAGGATCAGAAAGAATAAAATGTAAAGCCAAATGGCCACTGGGGAAGGGGGGAAGGCCTCAGTGAAGTCTGATGCCAATTTATGTGGAGGATGGAGCCAAATGGACTAGGAAAAAAAAACGTATTTACTAGCATTTCCCCACAGTCCAAGTTACTTAGGAGCTTAGCCAAGGCATATGTTTAGTATTCTACTATATCTTTTGAATAAAGTTGGGTCTTACGAGATACGATGTGGCCCTGATCATGTTCAGACGGAGCAAACTCCCAACCAAAATTCTCTTCCTAATAAATGTTTATCTCTGCCATTTCCAGCAGAAGGGGCTTCTGAATTCAGTTTTGTGCCTTAAATCAAAATACCCAGCCAACAACTCCTAACCGTAGTTGAGGATCAAGAGATGCTTCCTGCCTATAAGCTAGATTCCCCTACAGTGGGCTGCAGAGAGGCCAATGTCTACGGTCTTCTGGGGATTCTCCAGCACCAGCGCACCTTAAGCTTCCGAGACTTTTCTCCAGACACCAGCCCTAGCCCTACAGGAGAGGGCCTGGCAGCTTTGAGTGAAAGCTCAGTTGCACGGCAGGTAAGCCGGCCTCCCCGCCCACAGGGCTGATCTCTAGCTGGACACCTGGGGCTACTGCCTCCTAGTTACACATTAACCACGTTCCCAGATTGATCATAAAGCTAGTCTTTATGGGAGGAAGTCTTTTCCCGCCTGAGAGGGGCTCAGGACGACGACGACGAAGTTTTTACTGAGGAGGGCCAGCCGGGCAGGACCACCTCTATCCGAGAGCTAGACCCCGGTGTCCCCAACACTCGGTCACCCCCAAGCCTACAGATCGCAGGCCCCTCCCACCCCTGCGAGCCGACCTTAGCCAGCCGCACCCCGCGGCCCGCGCCCCGCCCTCCCCGTGCGCCGAGTCCCTCCCCCGCCTTCCCGCGCCCGGAGCCCCCCGCCCCCCGCCCCCCGCCCGGCCCCCCCGCGCCTAGCACCCGCCGCAGGCTGCCTGCGCACGCGCGACCACGGCGGGGGCCGGGCCTCGCGCCCCTTTCCTCCTCCTCCTCCTCCTCCTCCCCGCCCCCGTCCGGGCCCGGCGGGGGGCGGAGGCCGTGCGCCTGCGCGGAGCCGGCAGTCCGGCAGGGCCGCAGCCGCGGGGTGGCGGGCGGTTGCCGTGGGGACCGCGGGCCCCTCCCTCCTCTGGTTTCCTGCCCCACGCCGTTCGCACCGAGACGCGGAGGACGACCCCAGCCCTTCCCTCCCGCCGGCCCGGCCCGAGCTGCAGCCGGTGGCCGGGCGAGAGGCGGTGCCGCTCCCAAGATGTCGCAGACGGCCATGTCCGAAACCTACGGTACGAGGCCGGCCGGGGCGCGGGGGCCGGGGGCGCGGGGGCCGGGGGCCGGGGGCGCGGGGGCCGGGCTGTGTGCAGCGTTTACGTGACCTGCGTTTTCAAGTTTCCTCCGCGCTCGCATCCTTGGGGTTTTCCCTTCCTTAGTCCGGTTTCAATAGCTCAGGGTTTGGGAAGCCAGTTTAAGACTTTGCTCTGCGATATTGTCCCCAGCGAGGGATGTGAAGGACTTAGGGCGACGCCTGCATTTCAGTGTGTTCCTCGAATATTCCAGCTTGACCTTTCCTGGTTTGGAATTCCTTTCTTTGCCCTGGGATTGCAATGAGAAGTAATCGATAGGCTAATCCATGCCTTCCTTCGGAGACCTCTCGCCTCATTTATTTCTGTTTCTCGGTCTCTCGGGCTTTTAGTCCTTTTTGCGTTGCATTACGACTATTTATCAATGTGCCTTTTTAAAACCATAAACACCCTGGAAGCAGAGCCCTATCTGTTTAATCTTTGCTTCCCCTAAAACAGCCACCCCTGGAGGGGTCTCCACAAACAATTTTTGAGTAATCGAAAGCCTTCCCAATTCATATACTGTGTTTTTGTTTTGTTTTGTTTTAGCCCTGCGTGGTAAAAATAAATAATATCCTGCACGTCTCCTTTGCATCAGGCTTCAGGAGATGTTTACCAGTCTCTAATCACTTGTTCAGATGTGTGCATTCTCAGATTAAGACTTTGGGAGTTTTACAATCCCAGGGAGAGGTTCAAGTTCAAAAGTATGTACCTGAACTCAGATCACTTGTGCTGGCCTGCTTGCTGCTCGGTCAACGAATAGGCGTGGAATGGCATGATGGAGCCGGCAGGGTACTAGGAGGCGCTGTCCACACTGCAGGCAACACAACAGGCGTGGTTCTGGTCTCGGAGCATGCAGTCTAGTGGGGGATGCAGAGTTAATGCCGTCACGACACTAACGAATGAGTAGCTTAAAACTCCGGGCAGGAGTTCTGAAGGAGTGTGCCCTAGGAAGGGATGTTAGAAGGAAACCTGACCCAGGCTGGGGAGCCGAGGAGGTAGTAACCAGCCAGCATGGAGGAACAGCAGATGCCCAGGGCCAGACAGCGTCGGAGAGAAATGGAGCTCCAAAAATAGAGCCTAAACAGTGGGACATGGGGGAGGGGGAGGCAGAGAGGGCCTTTGGAAGGTTTCCACCTTTCTTCTAAGAGGGGTGAGGTCACAGTGCATTGGCTTCACCTTCAGCCCCTCCTGTGACTTGTGCTTGCCCTGTTCTTGGTGCCACTTGGGGCCTTACATCTATTCCTAGAAGGCTTAGGAAATCCTCCAGGAAGTCGATAGCGTTTTTTGTGTTGTCAGAGCTGCACATGGTCCTGTGCATCCATGTGATCTGGTTCTCCCTGTAGAGAACCACAGTCAGAGATTTTGTAAAGAAAATCCATTTTCTAGCAATTTTTGGCTGTACTTTATTTTCAAGCTCCTTACCCCACACTTTTTTCCTTTAACCTGGATAAGGAGCATTAGGGAGGGGTGGAAAGTCTAAATAAGAAAACCCAAGTGGGGATTATGAATTAGTAAGAAAGGACTGGAAGAGTTTGGGAAGATAAAGCTTTTTCATTTGTCTTATATGAAATAACCTTGACAAAATACCACATATCTCTACTTCACTTTAGACACAGTTAATTGAACTTTTGAGTACCACAGATTAACTGATTAAATAATGATCAAAAGGCTTTAACCAACAGTATTCTTATGTCATGATACCTCCCAAATATGTTTTTACTTTTTTACTTGCAATTTCATCTTTTCCTCTAATAGAGGTAATTAGAGGAAACTAATGGAATAGAAAATTAGTTTTAGAAACAGCAAATATGGCAGTTGAAATTTCGAACCTAAAATAAGAATCAACCAAAAGTCCTAAGCTGTCACCTTCATTTATCATTGACCATATTTGCACAGCACTGTTCCCCCCAAAAGTAAAACAATCATTTGCCTCTTAGATAGCTGACAAAGGAATGTGTCCCTAACCTTTAAATTCCTTTGTGCTCCACGGTCATTTTCTCTTCCAGAAAAGGAGGCTCTGTAGCTCGACAGGGATAGGATGAAAAATAAAGAGCCAGTGCTTACAAAGTACCATTAATGAGCTATATCTACCTGTTTTTTAGCATATTAAGGCAATATTTCACCTCCCATAGACTGAGTAGTAGTCAACATTTTGCTGCCTTGAAACTGTATAACCACATACTGTATATAATATTGAATACTGTATATAATATTGTAATACAAAATTGAAATCTTAGGTTTCAGATTGAAACGCTGGATCTGAATATCTCTGAACTGAAACAGTGTTTCCCAAATATTGTCAGATTCACAGCATTCTTAAAGCCTTGGCCAATTAGTATGGCTTAGAACTTCCTGAGGAACTCCAGCCATCTAAGACTTGAGAGGTCAGAAATTGGCCCTAAGTAATTCCTGACACCAAGACTTGTGAGACAGAATTAACAAGTTGAGTAGGTAGTACCAAGCAATGGTGGTCAGAAAGGAGCTAAAAAGTATAAGTGGTGCCAAAAGTGCTAGGAAAAAAATTTAAAAAGTAAGGACTAAAGCAGTCTACCACTGGGGAAGAATCTAAGATAAATCTCTGCACTTTGGAGCTTATGCTTTCTACAGTGAACACAGTTTGTGAAACAGGAACACAAATGATGGGTCTTGTGCTGATTTTTATTACAAAATAGTCTTAATGTTTTTATTTTGTGCTTTATTTTGAAAGCACAGTATTATAGTATTTACCACATAATTTGGAGAATTATCAAGAGATTTTCTTTTAAAAATATATCATTATTGACTGTTGTGGGTTGAATTGTATCCCCCAAAAGATATGTTCAGGTACTAACCCCAGGTATCTGTGAATGTGACCTTATTTGGAAATAGGCATAAAATAATGAGGTTAAGATGAGGTCCTGTTGGATTAGGGTAGGCCCTAATCCAGTGACTGGTATTCTTGTAAGATGAGAGAAATTTGGGCATAGACATATGGAGAGAGAATGGGATACAAAGATGCAGGCTGAGATCAGAGTGGTAACATCTACAAGCCAAGGATCACCAAGGATGGCTGGCCACTACCAGAAGCTAGGAAGAGGCAAGGAAGGATCCTTTCCTAGAGCCTTCTGGGAAAGCATGGCCCTCCAGACACCTGATTTCAGACTTCCAGCCTCTAGAACTGTTAGACAATAAATTTCTCTAGTTTTAAGCCATCCAGTCTGTGGTATTTTGTTATGGCGGCCCTAAGAAACTAATACATAGGCTTTGGTAGTTAGAATATGACTCATGGAGAAATTGGGGCTTAATAGGTGAGGTAGAGTAAGGAGGATATTTTAGGCAAAGGAAATAACATCGCTCAAGTGATGTGGTACCAAGAAAGTATAAAATAACTTACTATTAGAGAAATCACCAAGATAACCATTACCTTAATTTCATAAAAGACAGGGCATGTAAACAAGGTCCACAAAGGAAGCATATAACATCGGGATAAAGGAGATTTCTCTAAATTGAATGTATTTATTATGTTTAATGTTTGTATTTTTCTTTTTCTCATTTGCTGAAAATGGGTGAACATTTTAAGAACCAGAGTTTGGGGAACACTACACCAGTGGGTCTCAAACTAATGGGCCCCTGAGTCCTCTGGTGTGTGAACACACAGGTTCTGATTCAGTAGATGTGTGGTGGATGGAGGTTCCACACCTGATCAGCTCCCAGGTCAGGCAGGTGCTGTTTGGTCCAGGGCATAGACCTTTGAAAATATTGTTCTTTAGAGAAGCAAAAGTCTGTGATAATTTTTCACAGCCATTCAAACTATAAAGCATATCAGTCCTTGCCTGTGAATGTCTTGCTCCTAAATCTTTATTTCCAGTCATATCATTCACTCAGGCTTAATATCTTATATTCAGCTCCCTACCTAACTATTCCATTTGGATTGCCTGCGGTGTCCTAACACAATGCGTCCCAAACCCAACTAATTACCCACACCTACTCCCCAACCTTCTATTTGTCCCATGTACCCATTTGCCTAAAAGAAAGTTAAAACCCATTTTTATTTCTTCATCATCCTATCTCCTGGATCCAGTTGGTTTCTGTCTTTTAAACTGACCCCTTAACATAGTTCAAGTTACTGTTTACCCTACAAGAGGCAAGAGAAGGTGAAGTTGCGGCCAGTTTAGTGGATTATAAGGCAAGAAGACCCAGCATCCCAAGGTTCTTCAGCACAGGGACGTGAGCAGTTGTGCTAGATTTTGCCTCTTGCGGCTGGTAGCCGTGCAGCTGCTGATGAGCTGCATCTCTAGCTCATGTGCAGCAACAGAAGCGAACTCTCCGGGCAGGGATGAGCTCGGTGGTTTCTGGCAGGGGTACATCAGAAGGGGTTTAGGTATAATTTATTTGGGGACTCAGACTATTGGTAACAAATGCCACAGCTTTGTAGGAATATCATAATGACTTAAGTAAATGGTATTTCCAGAGCTTCTTGTGCTCCTTGAAAAATGATTCCGTGTAAGCATCAATGTGAACTTTACTTCTAACAATAATAATGGTAATATCTCTTCAGTTAAGGGCCACGTCACCCACATTTTGTGAAAAGTATCTTGCACTTTGGGCCCTTTGTATGGAATTATCCGTAACAGGATTCTTTGGCAAGGGTCAGTACTATACTGGTTACTTTTATCATGTATAACCAGGCTAGTGTGTTTATGTTCTTTGCTCTGAATATTTCTTTGGAATGAGAAGAAAGCTGATGTTTCTTGAATTTCTTCTCATAAACCATCCTCTAGAGATTGATTAGACTGTTGGAATGGATTTTTTTTTTTTTCCCATTTCTGAGAACTCCATTAGGACACATGCCAGTGGAAATAGTCTGAGGGAAAACCTTTGAATCCCCTGTGTTCTGCGATGCGTGTCTGTCACTGCTTTCTCTGTCAGTATGATCTTGATAATGGACTAAGTTCTGTATGTAT